TCCTTGGCTGCAGCAAAGCCTGTCACAAGAGCATGTAGTGGTGACTGTATTTTGATTTCTGATGCTGCGCTGATTTGTAAAAGTATTGTAGTTCACTGCTACTTGGTTCCAGCTCAGAATTTCTGGAGAGCCAAAGGTTCACGACTGCTCTGTCAAGGAGATGCGTGCCTCTTGCCCCATCCTTTGAACAGAGACATGTCTGTGAAGAGGAGATGCCTGCCCTGCGGTTTGCTTTTGTAATTTGTGCATGACTTGCCATGAGTAAGGACTGGGGCTGTGAGGAAGGAAGAACAGTGATGTTTCTCGCCAAAATTAATGGTTCCCTTTAGCTGGGCCTGGCTTATGGGCAAGACGTTTCTCAGCCCCGGGGCTGAAGGCGTGTTAGTGCAAAAAATGTTGAGCTAAGCCAGATGAGTGTAGATGATACAGCTTGGATGGCAGATGTTTCTGTTTGACTCTTCCTGCAGCTTTGGCTTTCCAAGAAAAGGAGTCACAGTTCAACGGGTCCAAAACTCGGTTGTTTGGAAACCAGGCAGTGTAATTTTTCTCACCAGTTGTGCTGAGTGGCCAGTTTTACCACTGGTGGTGGCTTTGGAAGCAACCGCAGTATTTGTGAGGATTGTGGCATGCTTTGGTGGTGATCGCACAGGAGAACTGAGTTTCAAACTAACTTTGTGGTGAGTCTTTATTGTGATGGTCTCGGTTGTACTGTAGGTAAACACGGCAATTACTTTGAAGAATGGTTTCGTGACGCTCTTTGTGGAATTGCCAAGACCTTGTGATCCCCGTTGATCAAAGTGTTAATTTCAAATAGACCGGTGTGGTATTTTTGCTTGGTATTTTGAGGAATGTGAATTTAAATGACACTTTCTGTACATGGATTTTTCTTTTCTTTTTTGTATCACCAAATGATAACATCAAAAGAATCATGAGCACCTGCTTAAGCTAAAAATAGGCACTTGCAATGCTTTAACTTTCCCTCTTGTGCTATGCTATTTATTTTGTTTCTGTTGCATATTGGGGTAGGAGTTGGAAAAAACGGCGAGTCCTTTAAATAAGAAGTGTTGGGTGGGGCTTGAATGCCCACACTGTGGATCCCTACGATAAGTATTGAGTGGATTTTTTTAATTTTTGTTTTTCTTTTAAACAAATGCTTTCGTTGTCCAGTGGTTATTAATCTGTATCCATAAAACGATGACCTGTTCTAGTTCAGGCTGAGAATGGCAGACACTTTCTCTTAAATGACGTTAGGTTTTCTGGGACTTCGTCGGTTATAGACAAGCACCAAAAATGTCACTGTCAGACTGGGAGAGCTGTGCTGACACGAAGGTATGGTGTTCTCTGGATCCTAATTCCTGCTAAAAACCCCCACCACATTACTTTCTCAACATAGCGTGTAAGCATTCACAGCTTTGGAAGGACTTTGTTTGGATGCTGCCTTGCTTCCCCTGCCCTCACCCCCATCTCCTTTCTGGCTGGAATTTAGTATGTGTTTTCGATCAACCATATAAATTTAAAGATACTCTGATATCTCCTTTTAAACATCTTAAATTTCAAGGTGTTATTGAATGTTGATAGATGTTAAGAGAGATGTGGCTAAAATTGTCTGGACTGAATGTGTTTTCTTTGAATTTATATTTGGAAAATATGTATATTTTTATATATTTACATTTAAATAGAACAGTCAAATCACGTGGGAGGATGTCTGCTTTGGATTTTAAGACTTACTACATTACTTTCTTCCACACCTATAAAAAAAAAAAACAACCAGCAGAGAGCGCATCTTTATGGAATTATTCAGCAGAAAAAAAAGATTTTCAGTCTCTTCCACAGGGATAGGGAAAATCTGAAATTCTTCTTACTGTTGAAAATAAATTATTAGCAGGTTGGTCTTTTCAGGATATATTCAGTCTCCTGACACATTCACGTGATCTACTTTTGATAATGTATGTGTTGGTAGTTACCCCTTTGCTGTGACAGTAGCTGCCTGCACTGACGCGCTAGGACTGCGCTAGAAGCACTTGTTGCTGTAATAACGTGGGCAGTAGTTGAAGATACTTTTTTAAAATGGAATTTGTACTTGGAAGAAACCTGTCACGGAGATGGTTGCTGAAGAAATGCTTTTGCATGTTTGATCTGTGAATGAATAAACTATGCTAACAGCATAATTTTAGCAGTAGAGGGTGCATCTGGGGGTCTTCCGTTATAGCTGCACCCATGGGGGTGGGTGTATTTTTTTTTATTATTTTTTTTTCCTAGGCTGGGGTCGGCAGTGTGAAGTACATGGTGGTGAGAGTCAGCGAAGCTGGAGATGGGGTGCGATGAGCAGTCATGCACCCCACACACTCTGCCTTTTAGAGAGCTCTGCGATGAGCCGGAGGTTATCGGGGCGAGGGCAGCGCTCCTGCGCTCGGCACCGCTGCTGCGTTTCAGAGAAGAGCGATCGCAGCCCTGTGAGCAAATGTGCACGGAATACATACCGTGGAAAAAATAGTGGCTTTTTTGGGGAGTGTTAAGGAAGGCAAAAATGAGAATGAGGAGTGTATGCTGATCTTGAAACACTTTTTAAATGAGATGTTGATCTCATCCACAGGTGTGAATCTGGTGATTCTGCGAACTGGTGATTCTGCAAACTTTTCCCATACTGGAGACAATGCCACATAGAGCTTTGCATTTCATAGTGGGAGAGGAAACATAATTTACCAGATTGTATTCAAAGAGATTTTTTTGCTAAAATGTATCAGGAGAGTTTCAAGATAGCCATCTTCTTGCTTACTTTGTGACATACGGGTAGGAAATTGTGCGTTTCAGTACATGTTTGAACAGAAGGTCCTTTGCAATGTAAACTGGATTCTTTAGAGAGGCTGTGGTGGTGGAAGTAACTCCAGTTAAGGAATTTTTACTGTATTTTTAGTGCTTTGCAGCCACTGACCACATGAATATATTGTGGTGGTCTTAATCCTTCAGTCACTGATTGTAAAAAGCTGAGGAGTGTTGTAGTGACCCGCTTCAAAAGATGATCAAAACACGGTATTTCATATAAGGAAAATGTGATGTCACTAATATTTTATTTTCCATAAATGAAAAAACTGCTTAATTGCTGCTGACAGCTTTAGGAGCACTTCTTCATCTTGTCCAGATAACTTCTATAAGCATTAACTGAACTATGCAATTCCCATTTGTACCTTAAAATTACCATTTTAGAAAGATTTAAGTGCCAGTCTTAATTTTTGCCATTGGGCGTAAGTTGTCCTCATTTGTATATTACAGCAATACTCGCACTGCCCATCAACTTCTAGGCATTTGGTTTAGATTTATTTAGATGTATTATCAGTATCTAATCTAGCTTTGTTTAGACTCTAATCAGAAAAGAGAAGGGGGGGTTGTTCTTGAAGTGCAGTTTTGCATGCAGGCTGCAAGAAGACCTTTTCATTGAGGCCACACTACAAAAATTTGGTATGCTCTCAAGAGAGGGAAGCAAAACTCCAAATTGAGGTGCACAGAGATTGTATCCTAATGCCCTCCTACCTTTTCTGTCATTCATATACCCAGCGAGTTTCTGTTTTGTTTTGGTTTGGTTTTTGTAACTATTTGTGTTTCCCTTCTAAGCAGCAGGGGTAAAGTATTAAATTTGTACGCCTGCGAGGAGAATGACAGTCTTAACAGAACCTTCTGAAGTGGAGACATTAAGTCTTTTTGGGAAATGTGTTGGTATATATGGATAAACACAGATGAGAAATGGTTAACTTTGTTAATGTGTCAGTGTTGGCATGTATGTCAGCTCGCAGCCCATTCCCTTTGTTGTTATTCTCTGAAAAACAGTGAAAAAAGCTGTTGAAATTTTGTAGATTCAAAGCTTTGAAATGAGGTTTATGTAGGAAGAGAGTAAGCATTTTATAGTAACTTTCTTTCAAAATGCTGTGGTTTTTAAAGCAACTTATTAATGTCTTATTAGAAGAATTGTTTATTCCCTTGACTGTCTTTTAGTGAGCAGTACTTGGAGAATAGATTAAGTTCTTTCGAAGTGGTAATGCTCAATAGAATGTATTTTTAAAGATTATCTTTTTTTCCTCGTAATAACCATGTAATGCTGTTTTGGGGGTTTCCATTCAGAATTTTGGCTAATTCTTGCATTCATTGATTTGAAAAATTAGATATTTGTCAAGAACTTCCCAACAAAAATTTCCTCCTACTTAAAAACCAAACCCAGTCAATTCTGGCAAACTGCTTTTCCTGCAAAGGATGCACACCCTGACCTTTATACAGCAGGTTGGAGCATTTCTGAAAGTCGCCCTGGTTCTGCCTGGTATATCAGCACAGCTCTGTAAACATGATTAGTCCCTGCAATTTCTCTTTGTTACTTTGAGGCTGTAATATTTTATACTTTTTTTTTTTTTTTTTTAGCATTGAAAAATTGTAAGTTGAAATTGTATGCTGTTTTTTTTTTTTAAAAAAAAAAAAGAACAACCAAACAACAAACAACCCAGAGTGTTACTCCTTTGTGATAAAACCGGAGTATTTTTGTTAGCAGTCCCAATTTTATTTTTAGAGTATTGTCAAGATGAAGCATGAGTCTTTTGGCAGCTGTAGGGTGTTGGCCCTCTGTCTGAGAACCTTTAAGTGATATTGAATGCCATCTATTTATCGGTGAACCAGAGGAGTATTTGGTTCACACAGGGTATGGTGAGCAACGTGCATCCTGCCCGGGCTGCAAACAATCGGCAGCAGCAGGAAACTGCTTTGCACCACCTTTGAAGGACGACACAGCTTGTTTGAAAGCTGAGCGTAAAGCGATCTAGCTGAGGAATTGTCTCAGCTGGCGCTTACACATCTGGGAAGCAGGTTTGTGTTTCATAACGTCCTTGCCAAACTGGTAGGGGCTGGGTGTGTCTAGATCTAACTTTGTCTCTTGAGACAGCAAGCTTTTATTTTGCAAGTGACATGCTTTTTTAAAAGTCTTCAATTAATTTGGTGGTTTGGTTTTGGTTTTGTTTTTTTAGGAGGTCCAAACATATGGGCCATCACCTCTGAAGAGCGAGCCAAGCATGACAAGCAGTTTGATAGCCTTAAACCCACAGGAGGCTACATTACAGGTAGGTCTGAGCTTCTGCATTACACATTAACTTCTGTGTACACATAAGTATCTTTGTAAAAGTTTGAAAACTATATCCTATTTCTAGCAGTTTGTTGTGTGACTAATAACCGTACTCGTTGGGCAAACAGCCACAGGTTATTACTAAACTTGTACAGGCTTTGGGCTAAAGTCTGGCACGGGAACGCTCTTTTATTAACCCTGTCACTTCTGCACTAGTGGTTATGTGCTGTCATTCTGTGTAGTTTCAAAAAACCAAAGAGTATCAGGTGAAATCTGTGCTTAAATGGGAGGCTGCCAAGGAGCACTTACAGTAGCTATTGTGGTGAGTGACGCCAGAGACACCAGAAGTGGCTCTCCTCTGTCTGAACAGTGTTACAGAATACTGTGCTGTTAGATATCTTTGTTTTGGGGGAGGAGGCAGGGAGAGATGCTGACAGCTTGTCCTTGTTAATGACTGCTTGAAATTTATTAACCCTTGGGCCTTCAGCAAGTTTTGGATATGCTAATGGAATTTTGCGGTGGCCTGCTGTGGGTTCCAGTTGCTTTCAGCTGCTTCTCCTCTGAAACCATTGGGTCATGTTGCTGTGCATCTCAGAATTTGCAGTTTTTGAATACAAGAGTCTGCTTATGACGTCAAGAAAAGGCTTGATTTCGCTGGCAAAGATGACTTAATTTAAGAATGTCCTGCTCTTTGTGTGCGGGTGGGCACTAAAGACCAGCCCTGATCACTATCCATCTGCTAAAGCCCTGTCTGGTGACTCCGCTGCCACTGCTTTTCCTCATTTCGGTCCGAAAAAGACTGAGGAGAGAATGGGAAGTTGTCTGTTTGGAACATGCACATCCTCTGGCTAAGTGATATGTAACTCCTGCTTTGGGTGAACAGCTTGGGAGCTTGGTGTTTACTTTGCCATCAGCTGAAAAGTATGCAGTCCCAGGGACTACCTTTAGGCCACCTCTGGGCTCTTACCTGCACGTACATCTCCAGGCTTCATTATTTATTTGGCAAGTGCTTGAAATGAAAGGCTGTGTATGAGTATAAGGGAAGAAAGAGCTGAAAGAATAACTTGAAGACTTAGCTTTAGCCTCTGTAATTCACTCCTAGGTAAGTGTAAATGCCACTGTCCGTGTTTTGTTTTGAGTTTGTGTAATAGCATGATCAGTACCAGTTGGTGTGGAACTTGTATGGAATTGCACAACAGTTCCCGTTCCCTTCCTGAAATAATGAAATAATGGATGTTCTTTGATGGAATAGAATATTATTTAGGACATGATATTTTTCCAGTTTTTCTAGAGAGGCAATACTGGCTGAAGTTAGATTGGATGAAGAAGCAGGAAAGAAATAGCATGCACATCCTTCCCGGTAAAAGTAATTGGGTCAGGACTAAATTTTCGCTCGGTGTTACTTCTTTAAATCTTGCGTCTATTAAACTGTTGGCAGCTGTTGATTTCTGACCTGTTAAAGCTTTTTATAGCTATTTGAAATTGCTTCTCAGAGCAAAGATTCAGGATTACAGAATATAGGGGTGTCTGACAATTGCTATCACCAGGGAAGGTGGTATGAAACTGGAAAGCTTGGCATCCAACATGCTGGCTCCTTTTGAAACTCTGGTCCTGCAAGAGAGTGCTGAGGTCTTCTGAAAATCTGTCTCTAGTATAAAAGTTTATCTTTCTTGTTTGTTGTAGGTGATCAAGCACGTACCTTTTTTTTGCAATCAGGTCTACCAGCTTCAATCCTTGCTGAAATATGGTAAGGTATTTTTGACTTTTTTTTTCTAAGATAGGAGATGTGTAGCATTCAAATACTGTCTTTTGGATGTTGTGTTGCCTCAAACAGGCTTTCAGCAGTCAAAGTAGGAGTGTTGTCTAAATCATTGTTTTAATTTTATTAAATTTAGAGGAAGGATTGAGCCCATACGTGTACTAAAGCTTCATTACAATCAATATCTTTTAAAATCTTTCTTATGATGTTAATTCCGATTGGATCATACTGAACACAGCCTTTTTAAACTGTACTAAGTGCTTGAAACAAAAAATAATGATAAATTGCAAAGCTTTCATAGAGGGAAGTGCCCATTGGACTGCCACAAAGAACATTTGAGTCTTGTCTTTGTATTTTAAATGATGATATGGAAAAAGAGGTAAAAAATGGGTTAATGAATTGCTGGAGATACCAGATTGAATGATGTTTGAAATACTGGTAGCTACTAAAAAATGTAAGATTAAGTGTGGGAAGACTTATAGGCTACTAAACTGTGAGTGGAAAATACACTGAAATTAGGGGACAGGAAAAAAATCTAAAGCCACAGAAAACGTCAGTAGAAGGTCAGTTATAACATGCTGTAAGATACCAGTGCTGTAATACAGGAACTGGAAAAAGTGCTGTACTTTGCAGTGTATATGTGGTGATTGCAACACTGGAAACACACGTTTTCTTTGTAACTCCTCAGTCTTCACTGGAATGCTGTGTGTTCATTTTGGGGCACTTGGTTGTTATCAAGATGTACACATGCTGAAAGAAACGGAGTGGAGTCTCCATAACATTGAGAACAACTCACTTGTGAAAGTGTATTAAGGAAACTAACGAAATACAAAGTTAGTTTTTTCGTCAGACACTTAAAGTGCCTAGAAAATTGTGGTGAGGAAATCTTTGCGTAGGGCCTTTGGGTTTTATACTGAATAGTGACAGAATGAAAGGGAAAATGTAGCTTAATAATAAGTCTGATTATTTTTTTCCCCCTCCTAATTTTCTTTACATTTCTGTTCCTGGTCCTCACATGTTTAAGTATTAATAAGATAAGAAATAAGAAAATAAGATATTTTCTAACTGACCAGAAATATGCACTCTTGCATATATTTCCTGTTGTATTCAAGTTTGTTTGGAGAAGTGTCAAAGGGAAACAGCGTGGCTATCAGGCTTACAAATCTTCACTGTTTGTGAATTAATGGAGTTTTCATAGTGGTGTACAGTGCCTTCAGCAGGTTTCTGCATCCTCCTGTTTCAGATTCTTGCATTAATTCCTTACATTGCCAGACATTAATTTAAAATAATTGAGTCTGGCTAGTAGCATAGAAAAAAGCATAGCAGAGGCAACAGGTGTATCCACTGAGCAGGAGACTACTGCTTTTCTGAATGTCTTCATACTGTCTCTCAGGTGTGAAGTATTTAATATACAGCAACTTTAAAACGGAGCTCTGCAGAAGACTACCAAGTGGGTAGTCAAACTTCTCAAACTTCTGAGGGTTTGAATGTTGTCAAAAGTAGAAAATCTGCAAATGATTGTAACGTTTCTTGTTTTCTGGTACAGAAACAGTAAATAAATTGATAAAAAGCTTCTCATTAAGTGAAAAAGTGGAATTTACATTTCTTCTTTGTGGGCTTTTCTAATTTTCTTTTCTTTTCTTTTTAAGGACACTGTCGGACCTGAACAAGGATGGAAAAATGGATCAACAGGAGTTCTCTATAGCCATGAAACTCATCAAACTGAAATTGCAAGGACAGCACTTGCCTGCAGTTCTCCCTCCTGTCATGAAACAAACTCCAGTATTTTCACCGCTAATGTCAGCTCGCTTTGGTACTTATGAATATATAATTCCTTAGTGTTCAGAGGTAAAAAACCACAGTTAATTGCAGCCAAGTACAGGCATTAATTTGACCACAACAACGTGAGTGAATCGGTGAAGAAAACCCAAGGATATTCTGATTTAGGAAATTGACAAAGTCGCTTTCTTGACATTTTTGATAATTTCATCCTTTGAAGACGTTTAATATTAAAGAAAAACCTTCTGTTGAATTTTGGCATGAGGTGCAGGAAGGCCGTTCACATCTGCCACCTGACTTGCAGGCTATCATCATGTTCTGGTGGTCTTTTTTTGTCTCCCTCCTACTCATTCACCTATTTATACTCGGAGTTGTTAAAGATAAACTTAGTAAAGGTCAAAGTTTTGGTAGAATGCTTATTTTAAGCATTTTTTCAAAATTAATCAGCTTGTCTATTTTGGTTATACAATCAGTTGAATAAAATTATTTTAACTTTTTGCTTTCTGATAGTGTTTTGGGATTTGGTGCATGCCTGCTGTTTTGTTGTTTTGTGGAACAGAATACACATAATGACTTCAGCTCGAGTACAAAAGTAGTGCATACTTCTATGCTGAAATTAAATGTATGCATATAGTAGTTACATACATGATTTAAAATGTCTGCTCATCACTAAATCCTGTGTGTTTGCATACAACTGCAGGCATTTATAGGTAGCTATGGTTGGCATACGATTACTTCCTATTAACCTTCCATCATCTCATCTGCATATTGTTGTCTTCCACAAGATTCAGCGGGTGATTCAAGTGCCCTTAATTACTTCAGGCAACTGCCTTAAAGAAACCGTTTGCTAGGTGTGGGTCCCTAAGTATGGACTCTTCACCCGTACAGATTCTTCCAAGGCTGATACTTGGAAGAGACTTAGTGCAGAAACAGTATCGGCTTTTCCCTGTAGAGGGTTGTCACAACTCTTGAGTTGCATTGTAATTCTCTTTCAGGGGCCAGACGTGGAAAGACTTGTTGAAGAACAAGTTATAGCTGCAATTATAGAAAACTAGATCTTATTATTTTGTGAAATACTAGCTAAATCTACCTCAAGAATTAATTGCTTGTAAGGATTTTTATTGTTTTTTAAATTCATGTTCTCTCGTATATTTTTCCTTTGTAAGCTGCCTTGTCTAAACTTTAGAGAAAAAATAAATATTATACACGAACATCTATTTTAACTCCTTGTATCTCCAGACACAGGTTGCTTTGTCTAGTTTCTCCCTAGCGTAATGGACCCGATATCTTGCTGGAGCCTCTGCAATATTAAATCATGAATTGTTGAATTTTGCTCTAGGAATGGGTAGTATGCCAAATCTGTCCATGCCAACATCTATGTCTGCGATCACACCATTAGCTCCCATGTCTCTGACCTCCATGACTTCCATTCCTCCTTTGGTTATCTCTGCTCCCCTGGTGCCTTCTGTCAGTACCTCCTCGTTGCCAAACGGAACATCCAGCCTTCTGCAGCCTTTGTCTGTACCTTACTCTTCAAGTAAGTATTCTACAGTCCAGTACTCACTTTCAGAATTGTGAATCTTATTTTCTCCATGGCTAATTTCAGACAGGAGTGCTAATACTTACATGTGAGTTTAAAAAAATAAAAACAAACTGTATTTTTTTCCAAAGTTCAAAAAAAATAAAAACAAATCTGTTCTAACTAGTTAGAATCTTAACATTAATCTTAACAACAGGGCGCTGATTAGCTTTTCTTACTTCTATCAAAGCCTTGAGTGTTTATTACAAAGCGGTACCTTATACCCAGTTGCTTTACAGTTTTTGTTTTGTTTTGGTTTTTTTATTTGTTTCAGCGCTGCCTCATACTGGTTCTTTAGGTCCCATGACAGGAGGGTTTGGTGGTCCTAGTATACAGAAGGCGCAGTCACTTATCGATTTAGGATCTAGCAGGTATGAAAGTTAAGTTTAAATTGGTTATATCTTAAACTTGAGTGGTATGCCTTCCAAAACTTAGGAAGTATTTCTATTTTCAATGTATATTCATTAAAAATTAGTCTATCTAATATGACCTACCAAGTCTGAAAATAGATTGTTTTGATATGCACAGCAAATAATATTTTCATTAAATCTGTCCAAACTGTCCCAAGTAGGTGAGTTCAAATGAGAGAAAGCGGTGCCAAAAAGAAGGGAATGTACCTTATTAGTAAATAGAAGTAAAACTTAGCAAGTGGGTGTAAAAGCAATGTTTATGGATTGATGTGCTCATTCATTATACAGGGCACCATGTAATTAGCAGGCATGTAAGAACAGTATTTGTTATAAATATTTATGTGTAAATTTCTTTTATGAATAATAGAAGATTATGAATCTTTGTAATCAACTGCTCTGTTTCATTGATTTTAGAGCTTTGCCATAGGCAAAGTGAGGGACTAGGCTTATCTATCCAATTGGGCATCCAGGGAATAGTCTCCCAAAAGACAGTCCAGAGGGCATCTCAGCCCCAGCTGGGTTCCGGAGGGTGACTCAGGAGTGCTTGCAACGCTCTGCTGCTGATACAGGGCGTCTAGGATGAAGGCAGGTCTAACTTTGGGCTCCTGTACAGACAGACGCCTGATGCTAGCAGATGTTCAGTAGTTCAGTAAGATGATTGGAGGCATGGTGTGGGCCTATAATCGTCTTTTTTTTTCCTTTTTTTTTTTTTTTTTAATTGGAAAGCTTTCTTTTACTGATGTTGTAGCATTGCAAAATAGTTGCTCTTCAGTGTTGACAGCATTTTCACCATCATGTTATCTAGTTCCATGCAAAGGATGTCTATCCAGCATCGTGCCCGAAAGGCTTTGTTTATATCAGCATTCTTTACTTTATTGCCTTGGATAACACTGCAAATAGTTTTTCACTTGACAAAGTAAGGGATTACCTTGAACAAGGCAGGCTGGTTGCATCTTATCTTGTCTGATCTTCAAAGATGGGATGCTGTGAAATGCTGGGAGTTGCAGGCAGAAGTTTTATAGATACAACTAAACACTCCATCAAGTGCAATTCTGCAGAAGCTGAAAGAGTTGGAAAAACTCCGTTCAGCCTGTCATTGTCACGAATAAAAAGAAGAGGTAGAGGTGGAATATGGTGGCTTTAGAAGCTGGTTTTGGTTGTGAGTTTATCAGATAAATTTTTGTGTTCATGGTTATTCATTTGCATGCCTCTTAAAGTTACTTAGACATCTGCCCAATGCTACACAGCCCTTGTAAACATTCTTGTGAAAGCTGAGATGTTTTCTCACGGCTTCCTGTAGTATTGTTTTGCAGTGGTGGACTGATGAATTATGTGGCATAAATGCCTGTGATAGCAAAGGAAAAGGATCTTGAATTCAAGAGTTTCCTTTTAGATATGTGTCCCTACTTTCACAGTAAAATTCCATATTAGTGATGAAAATATTTATAGCAAATTAGCAGAGGTAAAACTTTGTGGAAGTTGTTTCGTGTTACCAGAAGAGGTTGTATATCTTCTGTTCCAATGCCTGTTTATTAAGCCAAGTAACTTAGAATTCCTTCTTTCTTTCTTTTTTTTTTTTTTTAAATTGTGTTACAGTTCGAATTCTTCTTCTAGTGCTTCGCTAGCTGGGAATTCACCAAAGATTGCATCCTCAGACTGGGCAGTTCCTCAGGCCTCCAGATTAAAATATAGACAGAAATTTAACAGTCTTGATAAAAGTATGAGTGGGTATTTATCAGGTGAGTATGGTGTTTGATATGGAGGGGGAAAACCAGCAGCGTTTTCTGCCTCTGGAACATTGTGGGCTGAGGGATGGAATCCCAGCTTGGGATTTGACTTCCACATGAAATAAAAGCTGAATTGTTGACATTCAGACCTATGCAGGAGAGAGTGGGTTTCAGCTACTGTTTACAGTCAGCCAAGGAATGGAAATAGCCATCAGTTTCGTGGTTTGGGCACTATGTTAGACCTGGAGGGGCCTGAGGAGGCAGGGGAGCTCCAGCGCTGGAGTACTGGGGAAGCTACAGCAGCAGTCGAGGGGAAGAGGAGTGGCAGTGGCGGGATCTAACTAGAAGAGCCTGAGAACCATAAGGCTGGGGAAGTTGGCTCCATAAAGTCAGCAGTCATTTTTAAAGCATCACTCTGTGGACTGAGACTCATTTCTTACGATTTTGTAAAGTGGGGGACATCTCACGATCATTTTTGTGCCATGTGCTCCTATGTGTATGTATTAGTAGTTGCTTAGATATTTGGGCTTTTATCTTCTCAAAGCAAGCAGTTCAGAAAAAACCCTGCAGTGCTGCAGCCATTGATTTGGAATTTTTCAAAAGTGATTTAAGGGAGTCATTCCTTGTTGACATTCAGTGACGTTTGTGCTGTGCCACGGCATTATGGTGATTTCAAAAGACTTCACACACGTTAATACAAGAGTGGAGATTTATGCCAGTTCTTGTAAAACTGGGTTACTCACTGTAATGCAGCGAGTAGAGCACTGGCCAGGCCGTTAGTAGATGTGAAGTCAGTATGTGTGCCTGTAGCTGATTAGATTTCCCATTTTGAATAAGCACTTAACCAAGCCTCTGCCTCAGTTTCCTAGCCTACAAAAAAGGTGGACAATTCTCTTTTTCATGAACGGGACTCAGTGCTTTTTATCTTGCTCAGTTGATTCTGGGCTGAAGGTTTCATCGACCTGCCTAGCAAGGTGTATGGTTCTGTGCTATCAAGGGAAAGCTGACAGCTTTCCAGCATGCTAGCTCAAGCTTTAGGTAGACAGTCAGCTTGGCTTTTGTAACAGCTGTGGGGATTACCATAAATACCCATTTTTCATTTCAGCTTTTCTGTTAGGTGCTCTGAGTGAAAACAAAAGTACACAAGAACCCTTACATCTTGATTGTGTTCAGGTTGTAATGCCTGTTGTTAAGCCTGGAAGTAAAGGCACCTGTCAGCCACTGATGAAAATGGATTAGATTAATATTAAAAATAAACGTGCCCTAGTTCATGACTCATTTTTTGCTACATGTGAATCTTTGTTCAAAGTGTTTATTTTTATTA